TGATAGCACAGTCTAAATAAATGTTACATTCATATCTAATAATTAAATCATACAGTAAATGTAACACTTTACCTTGAAAAAATATGAATATAACTTGATGGGGGAGAAGGGTGACTTTGAGGTTGATAACATCGAGCTTCTCTTCAAGGGTTATAGCCTTTCTTTTACGATCATCACCGGGAATGCGATCACCAGAACGCTTATTGGAGATATTCTTCTTTACCATATTCACAGTTAATACCATAAAATTGGAGAAATAGTAAGCAAAAATCGCGTTACAGCAAACAAGCGTTCGCGTTATACAAATATCGTTCCTCTATTCATAAATCGCATTAGAGCCAATTCGCGTTGTCAAAACACGCGTTATAGCAGAACTCACTGTATAGAAATCAGTATAGAGATCAGTGGTTATCCTTTACTGAATCTTTAGCATTTGCAATTCCACATCATTATTCCTGCACCTGTTTTGCAGTTTCCTCAAGGTAAACATGAGAGTATGTTCAGACTGAGCAGGTCGGTTGTAAACAAACTGAGCAGACGACAACACACACCGAGTAAGCAGATTTTTCAGAGGGGTATTTACAGTAAATAATTAATGATTTCACGTACAAAGCAAGTAGAAACATCATTTTAGTGTCATACAATCATTTTTTTCACTGTGTTTTACCCCGAAATTTCCCTCATCCTTCATGCCCTGTCCACTACAGGTGATTTATAATTGTTGATAGAAAAAAAAAGAAAAATGGTAATTTCTGATATACTGCCAGATTCTGGGGTCATTAAGTCTAAGGGGATAACTTAACTCTATTCTTAATTTCTAAGGGTTGCTGCCACCAGACCCTCTCTGGGCATTATGTAGTTCGTTAGGTAGCGGGCAGAGTAGACTAGGCATTGGGTTAGGTTTTTCATTGACCAGATCGATAAGGGAAAAGAAGGGTGAAACCATGACATGCCTTAACTAATTTATTCCTTATAAAACATATTGCATTCCGTTAAAATACAAGTGAGTTGACCTTCCTCAGAGGAACAACGATGATTTTGGTTACACTGCTCAACAACAGACGTCTTACAATAATTGCGTGTCACCCACATACTTATTGCTCATAACAATCGGTGACCTCCTTACCTCGGTGATCCCTTCTTACAATAACACTCAACACGTCAGACTGCTCCACCTGTATGAAATATAGCACCTTAGGTTATCCTACATAGTAGCATCATCTCACCTCCCTGTAGCATCACCTCCACACCTGTTACACTCCACCCCTGCAAGTATGGGACTCCTTGTTATTTCTAGGTACACATATCAGGCACCTCGTCCGCACACCGCCCTCGGTGGGTAGAGACGAGGGTTTCACCAAGAGACATACCAGTACTGTTTCTATGCCTGGTATTATAGGTCGCTCCAAGTGACGACCGCGGAGTTTCGCAAGTATTTCGTTATGTATTCCTACTCATTTGTGGTGGTATAGCGGGAATCCACAGGTTCACAGTGGATTAGCAAAGCTGGGAGTAGTCATCTCACATGGTGGGACGCTCACGGGGGTAATGGCCGCCGTGTTGGTGAGTTCAGAGCGCGCAGGGGACCTGGGTTGATGAAAGGAGCAGGTACGTCTCAAAAATAATGCCTGATGGGCCGTTATCACACACCCTAACATTACTATTTCACTTTATACATGAGGCAAAGGTTTAAGGTATTATAACTGCTATAAGTCTTGTTTTAGGGCTGAATATCGTCCAATGAAGTTCACTGACCTGGGTTGATGAAAGGAGCAGGCAAGTCTGAAGGCCGATGCCCTCCGCTCCTCTCACCGACGTAGGCCTATAGTTTCCAATCTTTAATTTTCACTTTGAATTCTTATAGTTCTCACATGAACACTTTCCCGTTTATTGTGACCTGGTGTCTTATAAATGCATATTTTAATCCTAACTTACATACTAGAATACGGTTCAGATTTGACTGTTCTTGGGGAAATTAATTGAGCTATATCAACAACTCTCACCTGTAGGCTGGGCACAAAGGACGCTACCCCGAAACAAAAGCCGAATGTTCATAGTGTGGGTATATCATATATTTTCTTTGAAGCATAGTTTCTGGATCACTTCCAACACTTCACATAGGTCTGAGACACTTATCCTTTTTCCAGATCATTGTTCTCATGTATTTTCATATGATGTCTGTGGAAGTTATGTTCGCTAAACGTTCACAGATGTAAATAGTATGACCTTCAAACCACGATCTACACTTAGCCCGGATAGTACACTAGCCGGGATCAATTGGACTCTCACAACCATCCTATAGATACCTTGAGTTCTCCTTAATGCTATGAATACATACAATTAATATTATATAACCGTACCTGGGTACAATTCAACAAATGATTCAGTAACATTGAGTAGGCGAGTTATTCCTTTATCAATGTTTCCCGTTTTCTGAGATTCTACAAGCGCGGTGAATTTGAATGTTATGTAGCGTAATATGAATTAGAGGGGGTTTTTAGGAATGACTATGATGTGCGCAGTACACTGAGAACAGCACTGTTGTACCACCAGACATTAAGCAATTTCATTAGTTTTTTCCACAGATGTTCTTATCATATGACTCTAAAATGAAGTCGCTACGTGCTTTGAACACATGAAGAAATTACTAATATAAAGTAAAAACTACTTTGCAAAGTCTGCACTGTTTGTTTAAAACCAAGCCGCTCGGTCCACATATACTCTCCTGTCCACAAAAAAACATAAAATTACACCATGACACTTCAACAAAGTTACTTTCATTTGTATCAGATATCAAAATACTTGAAGTACTTTCAGTGTAATATGGCAGTGGGTTGTGGGCTCTGGCTAAGAAGTTAGGCAAGTTTAGGTAGGTTTCTTTGGTTGGTTAGGTTAGGTTTCATTAGGTTCTAGTAAATGTCGCCTCGGTAATTATTTACGACTTCACAGCCGCTGATTTTTCAAAGAAAATGAAATTAAAAAAGCCGCAACTTCAATGTGTTTTATAGTGGACACTATCATAGTTATGGAAAATGTGTTAAAAAGTGTTAAATTTTAAATTAATCCTAACCTATCCTTAGTTGATACAAAAAAATAAGCAGCAGAAGCAATGTTAGAAGACCTCACCAACCTAACCTTACCTAATTTCATACTCATATGGCTCAACCTTCCAGACCCCCCCCCCCGCATATTAAACATTAACAACTTACTATGATATGGTCTAATTTTACGGTTTTTGTGGACGTGAGAGCAGCTGCCCAGTTTGTGTGGCTCATAATCATACACTGGTAACTGGCGTCAATCGGAGATGATTGGCCGTGTACCACCGTATCACCACCGAGAAAGACAATGTAGTGCGCACCTAGTCACCTAATTATCTAACAAATGAAGCAATAATAAAAAAAAACACTAGGGGTTAGGTGAGGTTGGGTAGGTTAGGTAAGGTTAGGTTAGGTAGGTTAGGTGATGTTAGGTTAGGTGAGGTTAGGTAGGTTAGGTAGATTAGGTCCGGTTAGGTTGGGTTTTTCACTTTTTGTTTTTGTTTTTACATTGTTTGACCTTCCACTTTGTTTTCAATACCTCAACTACTGCTTATTTCCAACGGCATTGAAGGTAATATTTGTATTTAACACGATAATTTACACTATAAAAACCTATTTTCGATATACAGTTGCCTTGTGGCAACTTCTAAATATTGATCCAACAGACTGCACACAAACCCAGTTTAATTTCACAGTATTGCTGTGAAAAGAACTTTCTTGCAAAGATGTTTATATATAAAAGTACAATACTGGGTTTAATCTTGGCATTTTCAAGCACATGACCTGCAACAACCTTCACATGCCATGATGAAAATAAAACTGGTGCGGGAATGAGAGGCGAGTGTGGCAAAGAGCGAGGTCGAATTGCCGCCGGGAAGACAAAGTAGTGCACCTTAGGCGCCTAAATATCTACCAAACTAAGCATTAGCACAAGAAATGATTATCATATCAGAACTCACTGATGAAATTTTAGTAAGAAAATAAACAGCAAAACAAATAGCTCGTCTGTGGGTCAGTCATCAACTTTAACCACGCTTCCTTCACAAATGATTTGTTTTTGAGAAAATCCTATTAATTTGTAATATTATGGGAAACTTGTAAATATTTACCCATTTTTGCTCTCCCCCACCCAAAATTCCAATTTCCCACAGATCCCCCAAGATTGTTGGAATAGAAGGGTTGGGGGTGATAACTCAATAGCCACTCATTTGCAATGGAAATGAAGCTCAAATTCGTATAATCAGACCAATTATTTATGGTCCTTTAATGATAATAATAATATTATTATTATCATCCTCACAGACGAAGCCTGAAAACTACGTAAAATCAATTAAATTCAATTGTCACTATTATCCATTTCTACCTGGTATATATGGGGGATTCAAAATGCTCAGAATAGGGAGATCTAAATGTTGCAGTAGATTATAACTTTTGGGTGCGCAATGTCCAAAAGTAAAATAATACCAGAACTTGACCTAATAGGATGAGTTTGTTATGTCAGGTTGTAGTAGGTTCAATGCATTATCGTTTCCATTTCTGTGTTTAATATTATGCCAATAGCGTGTACAAAAAATATAAAGCAAATCGCACATTTCCTTTGGGTGATAGCAGTTTCGTAAACCTTTACCTTAATTTTTAATTATTACAATATTATGGTATATTATTATTATTATTATTATATTTTTGCCCCCAGGCCCTGATGTGGGTCATTGACCTGTGCCCTGGTGGGCTACTCCTGCAAAAAAAAAAAAAAATAAAATAAATAAATAAATAAATAAAAAAATACCATGGGGAATGCAAAAAATAATGGGGTTGCAAATTTACCGTGATTTCTTCATAAATTTATCAATAAATTTAATGATATTTTTGCGTTTACACACTGCACATTCCTACCACTAATCTATTATTATATTCGAATAAGACGTCTAATTATAAGATAATTTTCATCTATAACATTACCGGCGGAAATGTATAATAATGGAGAAAGTGTATCCAAAATGTTCTCTATTTTCTCCCATTAATCTTGCACCATTACCGCCTGCCTCACCTCTCACACTGCATGTCTCCTTCATAAATCATCACGTGCATGCGTTCCCATACACATCACGCGACCAATCAAAAGCTTTTTTTTTTGCAACCAATAAAAATGATTTGTAGTTTAATTCGAGGTATTTTTGGCCCAATCAAAACGATTTTTATTTTGGGTCTCTCATATTTCCAAATTCATATTCATTTCCAACCGTGGAAGTCTGTGATGGGTGTCACTTAAATTATATGGAGCTGATTGCGAGTTTTTGGAAAAAAAAACGAAGAAACTATAGCATTTTTTCGATCGGATGGTGTTCCTCAGTAGTGTCATGAGGTGCAGGACTGAATGTAAATATAGCAAAGACCAACGTATGTGGCTTTGTGTAAGAATCTCAGAATCCAACGACGAACAAGAACTAGGCCAATAAGGTAAGAAATAGGTGATTCCATCATATGGAGAGTCGGTTAGGTTAGGTTTTTGTTTTTCTAGTTTTTCTTGGTGTACTTTTTATTTGCTTAGCCATTATTTTTTTTTCCTGAAAACGTCCAACGAAAAAAATCGATAAAAAAACCCGGTAATTTCTGCCAGAAATGAAGGTCATATTCGATCTAAACACATACAAATACACTAGAAAAATATATTTTTTACTTTCTAACAATGCAAATTTACCAATTTAATGACCCCCCAAACTAATAATCCTACTTTTTTTAATAATATAAAGCAATTCACCTTTTCTTTTCAGCAGTAGCGCCGAGACAGCGCTATCCACTCCACCAGAGACGCCCAGCACTACTCGTGAAAACCTTTTCGCCACCCCTGCCATGTTGTCTTTTGTGAAGTGAGTGCCTCTTGTAATTGGTGTCCCAACACTGGTCGTTGCATAACACTTTCGTGACCAATAGTACTACTGGTATGGTTAGAAATATTTCCTTAGCCGAAGCTGGATAAACATGTACGTCATAGTCGCTGATCACTGATGTCGTCAGGCTTGTACCAAAGACTATATACGAAAGATAGGAAAGAGGACCGAAATGTTGTGCTCATTGGGTCCTAAAAGTGCTATCAAAATGGCAGCAAGGCACAGTGAGTGATATGCCTCAGAACCAAGAAAGATCATCCCCAATTTGTATACCATTCATTCCCAAAGGACAAAGAAAGGTAGGAGCACAGTTTTGAATTACATACATATGATATGACAGGTTTATTTATAATTATATTTACAAACAATGTGGAGATTCCCTGCAGACAAAGTAGAATATGATTTTTACCTATTATTTACAGGTGCTTGCAATGGATAAGTGTACCGGGGCTTGAGAAACTTAAAGGAAAAAGGAAAGAGCCCAGAAAATATAAGCATAAACACCAAATTATGCAGCCACCATTTTTTCCGAAGGCAATTACACTGCAGGCAAGGCAACTTCAAGGCTTTGTATATATGCATGTCCAGATATTAACCGAGGTTTGTATTATAATATGTACAGTATGTCAAATATCAAATATTGCAAATAAATATGTTTGCATGTGTACACGTCTGTAGACTTTATTTTATGATGCACATTTATATATTTATATATTTTGGGGGAAAATAAACCATAAAACAATTTATGTATATCCTTCACCCCCAAAGTACAGACTGTTACTTATGATCCTAAAAACTAATGGAATATTTTATATTCTAAAGCATAGAAAATGAGTTGGCATTCAGTTGACTTAAATGAATACATGAAATAGGATATTTATATGATTCACACAAAAAAATATGCAAAAATATGTTCCAAACATGAATAAAAATTAAAAGGAGTAAAAATTCTTCAAGTAACTTATTATAAGAGCAAGGTGAACGACTAATTTATACATTTTTTGTGTATTATATGGATAAAATATAAATTTGGTTATATTAACATATCTTAAACAAATTGTGGGGTTATGTGATATTTGGTTCACACTCAGGATGGGATGGAGAAAGTTAACTCACAATGTGCTCTCTGTATATATATTGTATTGGATGTACAGTGCAGCTTGGTGCTGGGAAGTGGCAGCGTGGTTACAAGCGTGATGTAGAGAGAGCTGGTTGGTGAGGGTGCTCAGGGGAGGACCAGCTTGTGGGTCGCCATGGTCGCCGGCGGGAGCGAGGGCCGCCAGGCAGGAGTGGAGGAGGAGGAGGTGTTGCTTGCTGGTGGCTGTGGGTAGTAAGAGTGGTCACCACGAGGTGTGGGTCGCCATGGTCGCCGGCTGGAGCGAAGGCCGCCAGGCAGGAGTGGAGGAGGAGGTGTTACTTGAAGACTGGCTGTAGGTAGAAAGAGTGGTCACCATGAGGTGTGGGTCGCCATGGTCACCGGCTGAAGCGAGGGCCGCCAGGCAGGAGTGGAGGAGGTGTTGCTTGCTGGTGGCTGTGGGTAGTAAGAGTAGTCACCACGAGATGTGGGTCGTCATGGTCGCCAGCTGGAGCGAGGGCCGCCAGGCAGGAGTAGAGGAGGTTGTAGGGTTACGTGATATTATGTTGTCTAGCACTCAGGATGGATGGATGGAAACTCTAAGGTGGTGGTTTTCTTATATAATATAAGTTATATTGTGGGGTTCAGGATATTTGGTTCACACTCAGGATGGAATGGAGAAAGGAAACTCACAATGTGCTCTCTATATACATGTTGTATTGGATGTACAATGCAGCTTGGTGCTGGGAAGGCAGCATGGTTACAAGCGTGATGTAGAGAGAGCTGGTTGGTGAGGACGCTTAGGGAAGGACAGCTTGTGGGTCGCCATGCTCGCCAGCGGGAGAGAGGACCGCCAGGCAGGCGGAGGAGCGAGGACCGCCAGGCAGGCGGAGGAGGAGGTGTTGCTGGCCGTGGCTGAAGGTAGAGAAAGAGACAGATCACCACGAGGTCAGGTCTTAAATAGCGGGGGTAGGCGTGGCTTAGCAGTTGACCCCCGCTCCGTGGTGTATGGCGGCGCTGGTTGACCTAGACCACGAGGCATACACTGGGGAATTGGTGGGGTCGGCTAGGCAGCGACAAACAGCGTTTGTAGGGGAGAATTCCACTACAATACTCCCCCTTCCCTCCAGGCTGTGTAGGAGACTTGTTGTCTGCAGGGTTGCATAGCACATGTGAGGCAGAACGGGCGGTGCGTGCCTCATGTGAGACAACGGCGATGGCGTGGATGAGCCGGTCGCTGGGGACAACTGTCTAGATACACAATATCTGTGGGAGTAGAGAGGGAGAATAAGGGTGTGTGGAGGCGATGAATTTTGTGCTTCCCTCACGGCAGGTACCGAGTCGTCAGATGCGCCTGCTGGGGTGTGTGGGCCTGGGTCAGGAGCAGGGGCTGCGTCAGCAGAAGCGGATGAGGGCTCGTGACAGCAGCTGGGTCCACAACAGCAGCAGGGTGCAGGACATTAGCAGGGAGTACCTGAGGGAGAAAAGAGGGGTGTGTGGGTCCGCACTCAGGAACAGAGGCCGCATCAGGGGCGGCAGGGGTTACTGCTGGGCCGGGGTCGGCGTCTGAGGCAGGACGGGTGTGCTGGGGTCGGTAGGACGTGGTGCTTGGGGCAGGAAGAGGAGCTGGTGTCTGCTTAGAGTAGCAGAGCTGCTCTAGGGTGTCTAACCTGCGGTGAAGAAACAATAGTTATAGAGCCGATGAGAGCTGCTTCTGTGTGGATAAGCCAGTCTTCCATGTTGCTTGAAGACTGGGAGCGTGATCAGTTTCTCCTCCATCCTGTGTGAGTGCGAATCTCCGGGAGTCACCATTTGTGGGGTTTGAGATTGTTTTTGGTTCACACTCAGGATGGGATGGAGAAAGGAAACTCACAATGTGCTCTCTATATACATGTTGTATTGGATGTACAATGCAGCTTGGTGCTGGGAAGGCAGCATGGTTACAAGCGTGATGTAGAGAGAGCTGGTTGGTGAGGATGCTCAGAGAAGGACAGCTTGTGGGTCGCCATGCTCGCCAGCGGGAGAGAGGACCGCCAGGCAGGCGGAGGAGGAGCGAGGACCGCCAGGCAGGCGGAGGTGTTGCTGGCTGGTTGGTGTAGGTAGAAGGAGAGGCAGCTCACCACGAGGTCAGGTCTTAAATAGCGGGGGTAGGCGTGGCTTAGCAGTTGACCCCCGCTCCGTGGTGTATGGCGGCGCTGGTTGACCTAGACCACGAGGCATACACTGGGGAATTGGTGGGGTCGGCTAGGCAGCGACAAACAGCGTTTGTAGGGGAGAATTCCACTACAATATGAAAGACAGTCTGGTGCTGGAGATGCCGTGTGGTGAGGAGCTTGTAGGGGTATCGAGATATTAATGTAGTCTAGCACTCAGGATGGAAGGAAACTCTAATGTGGTTTTCTTGTATAATATATAAGTTATATGAAGACAGTCTGGTGCTGGAGATGCCGTGTGGTGGGGAGCTGCTCAGTAGAAGACGTTCGGTGAGTAGCGTGTTGAAGGAGGTAGATGTGCAGGAGCTTCGTGAGAGAAGATGTTGCCTGTTGCTGGCCTCCTGGTTGAATAAATGTTAACAGCTAGGAGCTTGCTGGAGGAGGTGTTGCTTGTTCAGGAAAATGGGCAGAATGAGAGTTGGTTGGTGAGGAAGCTCAGAGAAGGACATGCTCGCTGGCGGGAGCGAGGACCGCCAGGCAGGCGAGGAGAAGCGAGAGGCCGCCAGGCAGCGGCGGAGGAGGAGGTGTTGCTTGTTCAAGAAGATTGGTCAGAATGAATCTCAATGGAGAGACAGAGCTTATATACCCAGCAGCCGCTATGAGTCATGTTGGGAAAACCCAGAAAGTCGCCGGTGAATAGTTTCGTTGCTAGGCAACGGCACGTTGGAATGTGATAGCAGGTGGTGGCGGTGCTACGCAGTTTGTAGGGGAGACGTCCACTACAATACTCCCCCTTCCCTCCAGGCGGTGTAGGAGACTTGTTGTTTGTAGAGTTGCTTAGCACATGTGAGGCAGACCGGGCGGTGCATGCCTCATGTGAGACAACGGCGATGGCGTGATGAGCCGATCGCTGATATACAACTGTCTAGATACACACTATCTGTGGGAGAAGGGAGAAAAAGGGTGTGTGGAGGCGATGAATGTTGTGCTTCCCTCACGACAGGTACAGGGTCGTCAGATGCGCCTGCTGGGGTGTGTGTGGGCCTGGGTCAGGAGCAGGGGCTGCGTCAGCAGAAGCGGATTAGGGCTCGTGACAGCAGCTGGGTCCACGACAGCAGCAGGGTGCAGGACATTAGCAGGGAGTACCTGAGGGAGAAAAGAGGGGGTGTGGAGGCGATGGATGTTGTGTGCTTCCCTCACGGCAGGTACTGAGTCGTCAGATGCGCCTGCTGGGATGTGTGTGCCTGGGTCAGCGTCTGAGGCAGGACGGGTGTGCTGGGGTCGTAGGATGTGGTGCTTGGGGCAGGAAGAGGAGCCAGTGTCTGCTTGAAGACTGGGAGCGTGATCAATGTCTCCTCCATCCTGTGTGAGTGCTAATCTCCGGGAGTCACCATTGTAGGGGTATGGAGATATTAATGTTGTCTAGCACTCAGGATGGAAGGAAACTCTAATGTGGTTTTCTTGTATAATATATATAAGTTATATGAAGACAGTCTGGTGCTGGAGATGCCGTGTGGTGGGGAGCTGCTCAGTAGAAGACGTTCGGTGAGTAGCGTGTTGAAGGAGGTAGATGTGCAGGAGCTTCGTTAGAGAAGATGTTGCCTGTTGCTGGCCTCCTGGTTGAATAAATGTTAACAGCTAGGAGCTTGCTGGAGGAGGTGTTGCTTGTTCAGGAAAATGGGCAGAATGAGAGTTGGTTGGTGAGGAAGCTCAGAGAAGGTCATGCTCGCTGGCGGGAGCGAGGACCGCCAGGCAGGCGAGGAGAAGCGAGAGGCCGCCAGGCAGCGGCGGAGGAGGAGGTGTTGCTTGTTCAAGAAGATTGGTCAGAATGAATCTCAATGGAGAGACAGAGCTTATATACCCAGCAGCCACTATGAGTCATGTTGGGAAAACCCAGAAAGTCGCCGGTGAATAGTTTCGTTGCTAGGCAACGGCACGTTGGAATGTGATAGCAGGTGGTGGCGGTGCTACGCAGTTTGTAGGGGAGACGTCCACTACAAGCTGCTCAGTAGACACGTTCGGTGAGTAGTGTGCTGAAGGAGGTAGATGTGCAGGAGCTTCGTTAGAGGAGATGTTGCCTGTTGCTGGCCTCCTGGTTGAATGAGAGCTGGACAGCGAGGAGCTTGCTTGGAGGAGGTGTTGCGTGTTCAGGAACATAGAGTAGAATGAATCTTAATGGAGAGACAGAGCTTATATACACAGCAGCCGGAAGTAAACCCGTGGGAACTCGCCGGTTTGTCGACCCCCCCTCCCCGTGTTGCTAGGATACGGTAGCAGATGGTGACGCTCCCCCCCCCCTGGGCCGCTCGTTTGGTTGCTAGGATACTGTCGCATTGGAATGCGGATACGCAGTTGTAGGGGAGACGTCCACTACAAGGTGTTGCTTGAAGACTGGCTGTAGGTAGAAAGAGGTAGGTTGGTTGGTTATACAGAGAGAAGAGAGCACTAGCTCTGAGAGTGCAAGAAGGGTACAGTTCAAGGTAAAGTTCAGAAGTGGGAAATAGAGGAGGAAGA